TTTTTTGGTCTTTTTGAGATAGGGTCTCACTTTGCAGTTCAGGCTGGCCTTGAGCTCACTTCGTAGCCCAGGCTGGTCTCGAACTAGCAATGGTCCTCCTGCCTCAGCCTCCCGAGTGCTGGAATTACAGGTGTGTGCCACCAAGCCCGGCTCTAACCTTCATTTAAAATAACCTGTCTCTTGACCTTTTGGCTAAAATCAAGGGTAAATCTACTTTTCCCAGCTTAATATCTGATAGCTCCTCTATGAGGACAATACAGTACATGGATTTTTGGAAAGAGGGGATTGTTCCATTCATTCCACACACTGATCTACTAGTATAGTACTTCCAAGAGTGGCACAACCATCTCCCCACCTGCTCCAAAGTCCTGACTAAAAGATATTTCTGGAACTGCTGAAGTGTACACTATACATATGCTACAGCAAAATAAGGAGTCCTGAGACATTAGAAAGTACCCTAGTTAGCTTTTGCCCTGCTTTGCAGGTATCTGTAAATCATGAAAAACCTGAGTTTTCCTTTGATGCTAGGAGTATTATTAATATAAATGAAAACCCTAGATGGGGACTCTCATAAAAGAATAAGCCCAATAGGAGAAAAAGAACATGGAAGGAAATAGCAAACTTGCCTTCTTGATTCTGGCACTCGGTAAAGATTTTGAAACTGTATTTGAAGTTTATAACAACAGGCTGGTTGCAACTCATTCTGTTCCAAGTACAAGCTAACTGCCCTGGGAAATCCACAAAATTACAAGAGAAGATTTTAACTTAAAGTGAGAACTGGGATGTAGCTCAGTGTAGAGTGCTTGCCTAGCATGCTGGAAGTCCTAAGTTCCATCCCCAGCACCACCATCACCACACAAAACAAAAGAAAACCAAAGAAGAACCCACCCCACCAAATAACTAACACTTGCGAGGCTGAGGCAAAATGATCAGAGTGAGCTGGAGGTAGCCTGCAATACACAGTGAGACCCTGTCTCAAAAAATCAAATAAACATGATTTTTAAGTAGACTCAAGAAATGTTACAGTTTATGTTCCAAGGGAAACAGCTCACATTTAAAGACCTTAAAGCATAAACTTGGAAGTAAGATGCCATAAGAGCATGAAACCTCCCAAATGGTACAGCAGGTAGGGAATAAGATTTAGGAGAATGGACTTCCAGTAATGAAAAAAATTACAATAGGTTAAATTAAAACCTCACTGGATAAATGCAATACTAACCAGAGTTGAAGACATGTAGGAAATTAGAACACAATCTGAAGAAATTACCAAAAACACAATCATGGAGAAACAAAAGAGATAAGGAAAGTGAGAAAAATTTCACTTACGCCAAACTGGAATTCCAGAAACAGATAATAGAGAAAACAGGAAAGGGTAATCTTCAAATAAATAATGAGAAGTATTTAGAATTGACGAAAACACAATTCCTACACTGAGAAAGGCCAGTTCACTCACACAGTCTCACTTGACAGATCTGTAACATCTTCCATGTGATTATACAGCCATCCTTCTCATTTTCATTCTTTAGTTTCCTTTAAAATTTTTGTGGATTAATTCCCCCATCTCTTTAGGCATACACTTCTTTAACTAACAATATAAATCTAGAATTCTCTTGAACAAACGTTACGGAAAGGTATAGATTAATCTTTGTGTTCTGGAACTCCAAACTTTTCTGAACTAATGACCTTAGGTCACTTCTCATGAGTTTGGTTGTAAGAACAATTTGCTTTAAGGAAACCACAAAGAAGCAAAGTGCAATTCAAACAAGTGTGAGGCCTCACTTTTACTAACCTCCATTTCCTGTTTCAACCACTCTTCTAGTTCTGCATTCTTTCCAGCATGATAAGCTATTAGATCTGATCCTCCAATGATGTGTGGGAGTTTACCTGCTCCAGGAAATGTGACCTTTTGTGTAACGAAAGTAGGGAAATTAAACATATCAACAAATTAAGATGATCATTTAAAAAGCTAAGATTAAAAAACAAGGACTACAAATCATGCATAAGTGCCAAACACGTTATATCCCATAAATAAAAGAAGTAACTCTGGGTTAGATCCGTTTTTTGTCCTTTTCTTCTCTAGCTATTACTAGGTCAAGATTTACACGTCACTGACATTTATGCACTTAGGAGAATTTAAGTGTTTTACTTTGCAGTTTGTGTATGTGTGTATGTGTGTATGTATTTATTCATTCATTTATTTGAGACAGGGTCTCGCTATGCAGTTCAGGCTGGCCTTGAGCTCACTTTGTAGCCCAGGCTGGCCTTGAACATGCAAGGATCCTCCTACCCCAGCCTCCAGAGTGGTGGGATTACAGGCGTGAGCCACCACACCCAGCTAGTACTGATGAAAATTTAAGTGTTTTTCAAACTTTCCAGTTTACAAATCCTTTGCAGATGCTGAGATAGCAAAAGTTTATACTTTTAGCTGACATTTTAATTTTTTTACAAATAGGTACCAAAAAAAGGGTAACTTGTATGTAAAGATTTGTATCTAGCACTCTGGGAATAGCCTATTCAGGGAAGAAGTAATAAAACCTTAATGTGTATGGGACATACTTTTGAAATTTCGATATGTGAAGTGGAAAAAGAATTTCAAATTAGTTTTCAACATTAAGAAGTATTTTAAAAATACAGAAAGTTGGGCTGGGGATATATCTCGTTGGCATAAGCACCTGCCTGGCAAGCGCAAATTCCTGAGTTCAATTCCCGGTACCAAAAACCAAAACAATACAAAACAAAAAGAGCCATGTCTCTAATTTGGAAATTTAAAGATAAATTAAAATTCCCTTGAGACAATCTTAAATTTTTTTATACAAATTTTAGAATGAATGTCTTACATACCTTGAAAAAAAATTTCTAGATGAGAGTATCTACATTTTAAAAAAATTTAGGGCTGGGGGTGTAGCTCAGCGGCACAGTGCCTGCCTGGCAAACGTGAGGTCCTGAGGTTGAGTACCAGTTCCAAAACAAAAAAAAATTTTTTTTAAAAATCTTTTTAAACCATTTTCTACAAGTCTGTAGTACTTTATACTTCCTCAGTGCCAATGGTACTGTTGCTTTTTTTTGGTAATTTAACCAATAAAAACAGTATGTCTTTTGAACTCTGGTTTGTTTTAACAAAGACATTTTCTAACATTATTACACACGATGTAACAGTACAGTAAGGACAGTCTGCCATTTATGAGCCACAGATGTGAAGTACAAGAACAATGTTAAGAACGTATCACGGTGCCATGTAAGGGTGTCATGGTAGGCCGAAAACTAGTTTAACTGAGAAATAACAATAACAGTAAAAGTTCATAGTAGAGGGAAAAGCTATACCACCTCACAGTCATAGCAAAAATTTGTACATATCATTTTATGTTCAAAGTAATTTTCAAAAAAAACACCCAATTTGAAAATAGTAATTGTATTCTGATCAAATGCATAAGCAAAGGCTAGCTATTAATAGTAAATAGTAGTCTGGAGCAGGAAGTCAGTATCCCAGAGAAAACTAAAAAAACAAATACAGCTCAGTTGGAAATATACTTTTAGCTATACTGATAAAATAATATCCTAGCAATTCTAGCATTTCTTTAATGAGGAGGAACTCAGGTCTAACAGTAATGCTCAGAGTACAACGTACATTTTGTTTTATATACACATACAATTATACAATGCCAATAGTTTTCATTAGTAAATGTGCTGTTACTAATTTTTTTTTTGGAAATGGGAATCAAACTCAAGACCTCATGCTTGCCAAGCAGGTGCTGTGCCACTGACATATATCCCCAGCCAAATGTGCTATTACTTTAAACAAATCTTTTATCTTTATGAAGTCCTGAGCTAAAGAACTGTTAAGTCACAAATCAGTATCAGAAAAGAGAGGACCCTGTTATATGGCCTTAAACCCAATGCTTTGGGTGAAGGAAACCAGCTAAATGGCTACCTGTATGAAATTGAAGCTGGGCATGGTTACATTAGCCTGTAACCACAGCACTCGGGAGGCTGAGGCTGGAGGATCACTGCAAGTTTAAGGCCAGCCTGGGCTACATAGTGAGTTCAAAGCGAGCTTGAACTACATAGCGAGACCCGGTCTCAAAAAAAGAAAGAAAGAATTTAGTCTTGGCAAAATCTCTTTCATTCCAGATGTCCTATATATTCATTAACTGTCAGTTTCATGTCCTTCCTAGAATAATTTTTGGAAACCATTTTAAGCAAAAGAAATAGCATTGGTTTTCAACACACTTTTATTACTGTTCTGAGGCAAGGGTAGTTCTAAAACCATTTCAAACACTGCCCTCTTGTGATACAGCTACAGAAATACTCACCTTTTTGAATTTCTTGAAATTCTTTAGTGGACGACCATGATCATTATTCACCTCGCACAGATTTCTGCAAGTGGAATTATTAACCACCAGTGATCTAAATTCAGTCATTAACACTTTTGTAGGAAGCATCTCACTGTTGTCCTGAAGTTTGTCATTGTTCTTAAAGGGCGTTCAAATGGATAGATAAGGAGAAGAAAAGGAAAATTTTTCGTCATTTAGGGCTCTATTCAAAAAAAAAAAAAACAAAGTTCAAATACCTAAAACAAACAGTTACAAGGGTGTACTTCTAGTACATGAACTTTGTATTTGGAATCAAATCATATCTATTTCATAAAACTAGAAAATTCGTAACTCAAATGTTCCATATCTCTGAAAACATTCATAATATACTCATTAATAATAAAAGGCTAAAAGCCATTCAGTATAGTACTGTATTTTTAACACTGTAGCTTGGTCTAGTAAATATTATTCCAATATGTAGTTTATCTTCTTTATCATTCAATTACTCAAGATTCTTTGCTTGATGTCCTTTACTACCATCTAGTTGGGCACATATCAACATTGTTACAGCTGCTGAGGGCTCACCCTCTAATTCAGTAATATTGAACTGTGTAATTCATCAGGGAGTTGCTAACATTCTGAGATCAGTGTAGACTGGAAAAAAAGGGAAAAGCCAAAAGAAAATACTCACTTGATAGTGACAGAGTATAATTAGCACCTCAAGTAAAGTAATAATGGCCTAATTCTTGCACAGTTTACAATACTTCATATCCATTACTATATCTGACATAAACAACCAGACTGTTGGAAAAGCATCCACCTTATTTTATAAACAAAGAATCTGAGGTTCATAAATGTGAAAATGACGTGCTCAAAGTCACCAATCTATGCAGTAAGAGCGGGGGATTATACCCAGGCTTCTCTATACATTATTTTTACTGCATAATGATTATAATGTGACCAATCCATTCTTAGAAGAGGCACAGGAATGAAACAGACCAGAGTTATTAGCAAAGAAGCATTTAACAATAAAAATGACAGAAATTAATGAGGTGATCAGCCTTGTAAGTCCAATCTTTATAAAAATTTAATCAAATAAGTAAGAATTTCCTCACAGATGTTTCTTTAGTTGACCATAGTGATTCTTTCTTGATCTCACATTTCTTCCCAACTTCTCTTTCTTGCTAAAGAAATAAAATAAAAAACACTGTTTACAAGAGTTACTAATAACCAATGCATCTATGAAACTTGGATATTTATCCTCTGACCTAGATATCTAACTTTCTTAGAAACTCTCTTTCCTAAACAAATGATATAAAAAGATAAATGCAGAAAAAGATACTCCAGTAAAAAGTACAGGAATGAAGAATTAGAAGCCATCTAATTTCATATATTTATGTATTTAATATCTAACAATATGAAAAAACAGTATGAATTAAAAATGGCTACAAGATTCTAATAACCATGATTCAAGGTCTGGCAATGTAAGATTTAAAGAGAATATAAAATATAAAAATATTAATTATGATTGTCTGTGGAAGTAGGAGTATCAATAAACTGCTGCTCTATTTTCCTTTACCCATGAGTATTCACAAGGATTTTCAGATATATTTTATAATGATAAAAATAAAGAATTAAAATAATCCCAAATTGAAAAGGTTGATTAATCGTATCAGGGTCCATTTCCTAGTTGTAATATTATGCTATAGTTATTCAAGCTATCCTAGTAATTAGGGGAACTCAGATAAAGGGTACATGGGCTCTTCTCTGTATCAATTTTTTTTTTTTTTT